TCGACCGCGCCACACAGTTTGGTGTGCCACACAGTAATTTCTCAAGAAAATTAGGAAGAGCCAGTATCTGTAATTGTTGTCAAAAGCTCAGTTCCTTTAGGGCCTGAAAGTGAGACTGAGCCTTAACTGCTGTCTGATGAGGGAAACACTCACTTCCATTCCCAGTGGCACTGATCTGCTGCCAGCAAGCGTGCACACCGGCAGTACCTGGCTAGGTGCAAGTGTCTGCAGCCTGTAATTACAGCCACATCTCCTCCCCTGCCTGGGAGGCACTGAGCTACTGCTAATAGCAGCGATACAGTCATCGCCATAACTCGGCTGCCTTTTTGAAAGATTTTTGACTTACTATGATCATTTCTCTGATCTGTGCTGATGTCTTTGAAGCCTCCTGCAACTCAGTTTGAGAAACACTGTTGTACTGTATTTTAGGTCTTCTTCTCAGTGCCATCAATTTAGCTAGTACAAGCAAAATAAATGCAACATCCCTCTCCTTCTCTGAAATACAAGCTTAGAAAATGGGTCTTTGAAATTACCTTACTACTCCAAAGTGATTTCATATCTGAATTTCAACCTTTAGTAGCTAATTCTGCTACTGTCCGTAAATATAGCAGGGGCTTGTGCTCCACAAGGAGCATGGACAATTTTTCTTTAATTTTTTTAGCTGCACTGATTGAACATCCAGGTGTGGCAGTGACAGGAACAAACCAACCCGCCCAAACAAAAACCCCCAGGGTGAAAGTAACCTACCAGTGTTTAGAACCGCCTTATTTGCCCAGTGACAACAGTAACAAACAATAACACAAGATTACATATTATTTAACCACATTTCTTCCCTTTACTGTTACTTATGATGTCTTAACGATTTAATGACAGGAACACTCCATTAGCCTAACTGCAACCTCAAAGGAGGAGTTCTGAAACACAGTTTAAATAGTCACCCTGTTCTTTACTCTTGAAAATTATCTTAAAACAACATCAGGCATCTCAGGTGAGAGTAATAATTTCTTAGGGATGCTAGAGCAGAAGCAACATTGGGTCACAGAGAATAGCTCCCAGTAGTATACTCAAAACCCTTGTCTTACTTAGTTTTTAATCTCAGGATGTCAGACAAGACAACTAGGAAAAGCTCTTGATTCAAGAACAGTGCAATTCCTGGCAAGCAGAGGCCAAGAATGATTTCATTTATATAACAACCTATTTTAAGCTCTGACTCAATGCTAACTCATCCACACAGGACAACGAGCAAGAAACAAACCAGAGATCGATGGACCTTTTTTACCGTGTTCAGCTGTGAGTGGCCGAGGTCCTTGTCTTACGGATCAGGCCTGTTTAGTATACGTGTGCAGAAGCATTTCATGCAACACACACAGAACAATGCTACCACGTTTCAGAATCCATGTAACAGAAATACTCTGAGGCACCAAACGAGCTGAAGGGTGGAATCAAACTGATAGAAATGGGTAAGATGAAGAAATTATCTCCCCTCTCTTTTACACTTACCCATCAACACTTAACATTATTATGCCAGGTGTAAAATACATCCTTTCTCTCTGTCTTCAAGATTTTCTTGAAAACTCTGACTTCAGAGGAATAAACTAAGTCGGCTCCACAAATGCACAAATCATTTAAGATGGGTTCATTGCACTCTTCCTCCCTCCCTCCGCCGAGGCTGGCAGTTGTTTGATCCCATGGTAAGCTACCTGAGTTCCCTAAACTATGTCAAATAAAAAAACCCCACTTCCCAAGACTCAGACTGTCAAATAACAAACCCCAACATCACACAAACAGAAGTATCAAAATACGAAGCTCTCGTTATTCATAAACAGATTAAAGACAAAAATCATTACCTGCAGATCATTGAAATCTACTGTCATTACTTGGCAGGGTTCTGTCAGAGGTACGTAACCCCCAGGAATACGGCTGAGCTTCTCGGTGGTGTAAGGCTCGACAGTTTCCTCTGAACCGGCAGTAGCGTACGTTGGACTAAAGAACTGCACTGAATCTGACAAGCACACACCAGCAACTTCCTGTGTTCCCACTCTGGGAGTAAGGGGAAAAAGAAGAAACGAAGCTTCAAATAATTTGACCAAAAAGACCCAAAGGAAATTCTTCCCAGGCTGGCCAAGTGTTTTTAAATGCACAGAGTGTAGGAACAGGGAAACTAAAACATAATAAAACAATCCTGTGTGGTTTGTGTTACGTTCAGAGCAGCTCTGAAGTATAGAAAATGCACATCACTTTCGAGAATCAGAACTGAATGCTGTCACTAGGAACTGAGAAAAAGCCCAGTACGTCCTTTGACAAAGGCCACAGACTTTTGCCCCCGTTAGCACAATTCCTTGAGTCTTGACACGGGAACTAGAAAATGATAATAAGAACACATAAAACCTTTTTTTCTGCTGCTGCATTGGACAGATAATGAAGGTGTTTCTTGCAGGTGAACAGAATAATCAAAACAAGAGATACATAGATATGCAACAAAAAAATGCATTTTTGGGAGTTTCTGACATAAAACTTAAATTCTGTGCTACCTTCATATATTTATCAAGCACAATCTATGCAGAATAAGGCATTTTTCATAGTTAGAGCTGCAAAGAAAGTCTCAGTGTTTTTTGTTGTCGGACAAGGCTTTGTCAACTCAGAATAGATGTATGCTCTCTTGCAAGACAGTATCAATTAGGTTTCTAGAAATAACCTTATACAGCATTCTTTCTTCTTTGAAGCTTTTTGTAACTGCTTTAAAACGATTACTTGCATAAACTGTTCATCTCTTAAGATATGTTCTCGCTTTCAAAGTACGAGACAGCAAGTTAGATGTGACAAGTCTTGCACAAGCTACACTTTAGATTATTCTAAGTGCATTTGTCTGTGAAGGACGTAGTGCTTTCCATTTAAGTGACAGCTGTCAAGCAAACCTGCATTCTTTTAGTGAGATCTAGCACTCAAGTTCAAATTTCTATTTCTAGAACTATTTTTAATTCTGAATCACTTTCTCAGGAACCTCCCCTCCCTGCAAAAGATCTCCTTACAACTAAGTGTGTCTATACACACTGTCTGATATGGTCATCTCCTTGATCTAGAGAAGCTCCCAGTCACAGAACTGAATAGGTTGTCTTTTGTCATAACCTACGTTCTTAAGCAAGGATCTGTTGACCATCATGCATAGCTGAAATATAAAAATGAATCTGACTCCATCTCTGGAGCAGATTCCCTAGCAATAAAATAATTACAATCTTCTCACCTCCTCAGTGAAGTAACTTAGGCATTTTTAACAACAAGGATGAGAATATTCTCCTTCACTGGAAACTGAATTTGTGCATTATTTTAAATGAAACGCTACAATTAAACCAGAACAGCTGCTGTACAAGGCCTGCATTGTGAAAGAATTCAGCAAATTATTATATTATCATAAAGCTTTCTGGCTTCAATATATAAGCACAGCAGTAGAGCCACTTTATTGCCTCCCTGAGGCCCAATCAACTAGAAATTAAACATTAACAAAACCACCTGAAACCTGTAATTGTTACAGTGATTTAAATTCGTAAATCAACCTGTATTCTGACACATTTTACTCAAGATGACTAGATGTAGATGAACTCATGGAGCAGGCCTATGTTCTCCTAGAATACTGTTTTACTGTTACATATGACTTGAAAAATATCTAGTTCAAACTTGAAAAACAGTATGTGGCATACTCCGGCATCTTAGAAGTTCTGTGGTAGTCTAAATTTATCCTTAGTAGAACTCAAAGCTTCTCACAAGTTTGTCAGCTCACTTTTTCTTCTGGAAATAACCACGTCTCACATGGATGTGAAACAACCGCTTCAAAGAGAACGCAATGCCTTTAGGAGAAAATGAAAGCTTACAGCTTCTTCCTACAGCATATAATTATTTTGTGGCAATCGTTTTCAGTCCTGCTAGCCACCTGACCTTAAGCTACAGCATTAGAATGGATTGTTTATTCAACAAACCAAAGTTACATTAACTTTCATCCTGTTTACATTTTGTACAAAACTCTCAATGCCGTGTTTCAACACAAAAAACTATCTTCTAACTGATGAACAATTAACTTTCCCTAAAAGAAAGTTCTTCTATGATCATCTAACTATGGGAACTTCTGTCTCTTTCCAGCCATTGTCCAAGTCTACTGCACTAGAAAAATCACTGATGCAGCCTGACAGTTTTTTTAACCAGTACACTGAAGCTCACATAGTCTCTGTCTGAGAAGTTTGGACTTGATGTGTTTTGTTTAGGATGAGTCTTGTTGCAGAAAAAAAGCTATCTCCATACAGTGATACCATCCTAGAAGATGAGAATAAAAGTTAGTGTTACAATAATTAATCCACAATCAGAACTGGTCTCAGCAAAGAAACCCTGCTCTTCAGAACTAGGCAAGGCACATACTCAGAAAGATAATGCTAGGTGGGGTTATTAACAGTTAAGCTTTACAAAGTATGGAGCAGATCATAAAGAGGATAAAATGAGGATAAAGGCCAAGCGCTAATCCAAGAATCTCCAATACAGAAACTGAGAAGTAATTTCATTATTAAACAATAAAGTGTCTTGAGTATGTGTTAAAAGCATGTATTTCAGCATAACTGAAGGTCTGAACCCCAAAGCTAGGGTGGGGAGGCAGGAAGAAAGCCTGGAAAAGGGATGGAGAAGATGAGAGCAGAAATCTGTTTAGTGAAACAGATAATCAGCCATTCAAAAAGTAAAGAGAACAGTAAATTAAAATCCTTAACAAAACATCCATCTCTTCCCAAATAACAAATATGGTTTCAAACTGTGCTAGAGTTTAAACATACCTGTGATGTCTACGTATGTCTCTGCATTCCACTGCCATCCCAAATATTGTAGCACTTGCAGGAATAACTCTGCCATACTCTCCAGTACTGACAACTTGATTTTTAGGCTGTGAAAACATAATTAACAACATGCAGTAATTATAGTGACCTACTTCTACTCTTGCTGCAAACCCTAGGTTACACAGTAACAACCCATTCAAGATTACAGTCAAAACCTTGGTAAATTCTTTGTGACTAGTCAAGTTTCCGGTCCTTGTCAATCCAGTTGACCATTAACGGAGTTTCTTAAACACTGTGTTTCAATATATCCACGCATCAGCTTTACTTTTCAGCCAACTACTTCTGTGTAATTCTAAAAGTGTTTTTAAATTCATGTTCTGTTAGATTATATTGAAACATGCGAGGACCTTTCCTTTACACATCATTCCTATACTTAACACTAGGGGTCAGCCGTTTCAGTTCAACAGAGTTTTCATCCAGGTAAGACTCTTCTTTAAATTAGTTGGAATCAAAGCAACACCAAAATAAGATAAAGTTCTTGTATTTCATAAGGCCTAACAACCCATCTAAGACTCCTTGTCATATTACTTTGCTTAACGTATGCTAGGTAAAATGCAAAATATGTAAAGCAAAATCTGAGAAACACAGTGGAATTGTTCAGCCTGCCAAAAAAGTCAGAAGTTAGCAAAAATAAAGATCATAACCATATGGCATATTTACCAAAAAATAACTGACTGCTGCCTAGTGTTATGATCAGAAATAATTCTGCCATAATTCAGCATTTTCTGCTTAGACTGACATGACTTTCTGCTACTAGCTGGCATCTCAAAACGACCCATCAACTTGCAGGAAAATAGGGCCTTTACAACACACACAAATCCCTTTGGTGTGTCTTACAAAAAGGGTTAAAAAGGAAAAACAAAACAAAACAAACCACCACAAAAAAAGGAATGAACTATCTCAAAGCTGGAAGGTTACACCAGGAAAACCATACATTGCAAGTACCTGTCTACTCAGAACATGAGCTCGTCTCAGTGTCACAGAGGTACGACACATGCAGCTGCCTCATTGCCTTTCACCAAAATCAAATTCATAGGACAAACCCAGATCATTCATTTTTAAATTATCAATAGGTACAAAATATTTACAAGACACTTATTCTTCATTCACATGTATCTGCGAATGTGTACACAAGCACACACACATATACGCACAAATATACATCGAACAAAACAGGAATCCCGTTTATACGCACGTACCCACATCACCTACCTTGGGTTGTAAAAGCAGATATTCCCAAGCATGTATCAAACTCTCCACAATTCCTTCTCCAAATAAACCAGCATCAACGGTCTCTGTGACAACCAAGGAAACTCTAGAGAAGAACACCGTGAAAAATGATGTATAACACACACACCTGTTAACATCCTGATAAAGAAAAAACCCAACACCATATCAACACAGGCTCAGAGCAAAACTTCTAAAGTGCTCTGAAGTTTCACTACAGATGGTAAATTTAATTCTTCCAACAAATTATGTGTTTTGAATTGTTGTTAGAAGTTATTCAAGATGCAGATAAAAAAGAATAACTATTGAGCAGGAGTTTACTATAAAGCTTCTTGTTCAGCATTTATATATAAATTGTGTGGGAAGAATCTAGCGAAAACAGGAAGATGTCTCAGCCTGGGCACACAGCCAAGGATACTGTAGAGTATGTATTTTGTCTGAATCTTGTGTAAGAGCATGCATCCATGCATGCGTGTTAAAGAGGAATTAAAATAACAGGCTGTAATCAAAGCACAACAGAATTACCACACAGACTAATGGACCCTAAAATTATGGATTTAAACCAAAAAAATAGGGCATGATAAGAAAAGATATTTCCATAAGAGTAACAATTAACTCCTGACAGGTGACATACAGTAACTCATCATATACACTGATCAGGCTTGTTCAGCCTGGAGAAGGCTCCAGGGAGACCTTATTGCACCCTTCCAGTACCTGAAGGGGCTACAAGGAAGCTGGGGGGGACTTTTTACAAGGGACTGTAGTGACAGGACAAGGGGTAACGGGTTTAAATTGAAAGTGGGGAGGTTTAAATTGGATAACAGGAAGAAGTTCTTCCCAAAGAGGGTGGTGAGGCAGTGGAACAGGTTGCCCAGAGAAGCTGTGGATGCCCCATCCCTGGAAGTGTTCAAGGCCAGGCTGGATGAGGCTTTGAGCAACCTGGTCTAGTGGAAGGTGTCCCTGCCCATGGCAGGGGGGTTGGAACTAGATGGTCTTTAAGGTCTCTTCCAACCCAAACCATTCTGTGATTCTAAGAGGATACATATGATCAGTCACTGTAGCTCAGCTGGCACAATTAGACAAGCCTTGACTGGCATGCTAAACCAACAGCAGCTTCATCGTTTCAGGTTGTGAGCCTGTTCTATCATCACTTCTAAGAAATGTTAGTAATGAAATGTGGGAATTTTACTTCTAATCTGCATTCCTAGCAGCAGTAAGCTGAAATAATAAACTAGTCCTTTGCATATACCAAAAGAAACAAAAACTCCCTCAAATTTCTACCTGCTAAAGATTTACAGATCTTCCAGAAGAACCCCTCCTGAACAGGACAACGAGCAAGGAGCAGGGTAGATAAAAAACCTAGATCACCTATACTGAAAGCTGTAATGCCGATCGAATTCTAATTTGCCAAGAGAAATTCCAAGCTGCCTACTTTGTCCCAGTAGCTCTTACTATGCTTCAGAAGACATAATATTGGAAAAATAAGCTACTTAATTTTGCAAAGGACCTGGATCTCTGCTACACAGAAAGGTGGGCAGATGTGCACGTACAAAAAGCCCAACACAAACACAGAAACCTCTTCCTGCAGTACAAGTTGCAACACCCTTCCACCGAACTGTACTCCACTAGCCAAAGGCGGATCCCTCCCACAGCAGGGTGCCAGCACTCACAGAGTCAGCCCAGCCACACACAGCCTTCCAGATGGAACAGCCAGGAACCGGTAGCACATCCTGCGGCCTCTTCTCACCCCCACACACAGCAGCACTCTCCTTGGCGGACGTTTTCCCCTCACTCGCTGATCATAACAGACAGACAACCTGCAATTTCTGATCGCTCTCGCAAATAGGGGAGCTGGCACAGAGTTGCAGGGTGTGGTATGTCCCAGAAACAGCCTTCCCTTGCAGGCCCCGTTACATACCTCCAGCCTATTCACGGGCAGAAGCAAGCCACAAGTTGTTAAGTATACAAGTGTGTCAAAGTGACTTTTATCATGTAGCAATCTACACTTCTCTTTTCCTGTTGCTGCACCATGATTGCATATGCCCCAGAGCTCCCACTGTCAAAGAATTAAACGCCTTAATTCATGACACTGTTTATCTACCACAGAAATGAATATGATCTACAGAACATGTTGTCATTTCTGCACTGCTCTGTAAAGACATAAACCACACAAAGAACCTTCTCACATTACAGGTAATAGCACAGGCAAAGATACTTCCTGTTTAGGTCATAGGCTATTTTCTTGAAATTAAAGAAAATTTAAGATAACATCACAACAGAGCGTAACAACGTACCTTTCAGGTATGTCCTTTGGAATTTCTATATCAAGCGACTTCAAATGCAGAAGGTTGATCTCTCTTTCCATATTATTTGCCGCCACCACATCACGGGCAAGTTCATACATGGTTTTTGATAATTCACAGGCATAGACAAATGATGCTCCTGCCTTTTTTGCAAACATACTGAAAAACAAGAATCAGGGCTTTTTTCCTCCAGTTTAAGTCATTTTAGGTAAAGCATAATCATCTGCTGAGTTTTCTTAAGTTCTGTATCTGTTTCATATTCCTGAGAAAACAGTTCAAGTCTAGCAATCATCATTAAGTGAACTAGTATCTCTTGTGTGACCACTAATATCACAGAAATTGATATCTTCTCGATATGCTATCACAAAAAGAACGCAGGGAGCGTAAGGATACTCCCTAGCTACGCTAAATCCCCTCTTTGGATGACATTTTCATTAGTTAACTTTACACATAAAAAGCATCTGCATCAAATTAAAAAAAGGGTTAAAAAAAAATACTACTCGACACTAACCTCCAGCCTCAGGGACTCCTGAAAGCTGCTTCCTTTGTCTCAAGAAAGGCATGACAGCAAATGTTTTTTTTTCCACTAGCAACCAAGTTTTGTTAGACAGTTACGACAGTTACGTTTCTATTGAGTTCATGTTAAACGCACTTATGACACACCTCAAGATCCCTGTTCCTGTTCCAATATCAAGGACAGATTTGCATCCTGAGCAGACGGCGTTCTCAATTGCCTTTAGGTAAGTAAGATTCCTCTTGGCATCGTTGAGCATGATGAAGTGCCAGCGTTCCACGAGCCAGTTTGCGACGCAGTAAAAATTCTCCTTTGCATCAGCAAAGTCTGGGTTAAGCTTCACTGCTTTATGGAAATATCCAGCTGCTTCATCTCTAAAGCCCATTCTAATAGTAAAAGTGACAAATAAATAGAAAACATACATTCAGCTGCCAAGTATCCATAGATCTGTAAAGAGGTCTTGTATCAGTTAAAAGGCAAAGGAAATATTTTGCAATAGTTAGATTATCTTCAGAAACACTGCTATTACTCTGTGAAAAAAGAACAGTGTACAGCTCTACATCAAATCACTTCAAAATGCAAAGGTAATAAAAAGATACTCTTGCACACATCAGTCTTCATGTAGTACAACATTCTTTGACAAACTAGAACAGGTTTTAGGAGAACTTGCTGCAACAGTATGACAGCAGCGAGTCCGCAATCCAGCCTCACGGAATTTCAAGTCAAGGGAATGCTACAAACCCCAGAACCGTTCTGGAACCTATTGCAAACCAAGTTTTGAGTTGCCAGTGCTTGCTTTAAGTGGCAATTTTGAAAGTAAATTGTGAACTTGAAACAAGTTTTCGTGATCCCTATAGCATATTCTCAAATCAGACAGCACTGAAAAAACCCAAAACGTATGAAATGCAAGAAACTTACATTTTAATATAATGCTGGGAGACTTGTTCCTTAAAACAAAAGAATCACAAAAAGCAAACCTAGCCAAAACTATCTGGATCCAGGGCCTATGATTTAAATCTTAAAACTGCAGTCTTGAAGGCCTCTGAACCCTGAGCAAGAGCAAAGCACCCACGTGCTGCAATGTTTGGAAAAAGCAGGAGAACACTTTACACTAATAAAAGTGTATGTTCACACCATGTAAAAACAGCCTTACACAGTACAGTACACATAGACAGCTGCTTCACTTCAGAGGTCTGTTATATGTGACCTCAAGCAGGACCAGAGTTAAAAGACAGTATTCAAAGGCAGTAGTTTTCAGCGATCTAACAAGAAAGAAAGGAAAAACTTCAAAAATTGTAGGTTAACTGCAACTATAGTTAACACAGTGACTCTGAACCACTTTGGTATCTTTTTGGTTAGGAATTCCTTAATAAACTGTTGGAAAACATCTGAAGGCAGTGCTTTAAGTTTTTACTTCAGTGAAAGTGCTTTTTTTTAAAAAAAAAAAACAACTTTCACTATGACTATCAACACTTATTTCAGCATTGGCTACTCTATTTTAAGCTGACAAATGGATCTGAAGTTCAACAGCACACGCTATACAGCACTAAGCACATGCTTGCATTTACTTCCGTTTTACGTGCTCTGCTGAATCGGGTATTGATTATTTACATTACTAAATGTGAGCCTGACAAAAACTGAATCTACATTAATACAAACCTGAAGAGATGTTCTCCCATACTATTACATATTACTTCATCATTTGGGTACAATTCAAGTGCTTGTTCATAACAGTTAAACAGATCTTGAATCCGTGACAGAGAATCTAGCTCTTCTGCCCATTTGAAGAGAGTAAACTGAAACGTTTCCTAGAAAATAAAACATACACCACTGAGTTGCTGGCAGTTCCCAGAAGTAGGGAACTGAGACCTGAAAATATTTGACAAGCACCTTCATTTCCTTAAGCAGCAGCATATAATTGTTTCTTATCATCCCAAGTTAGTTGGCTCACTTGAAGAGGTGAAAATAAGCTCTCAGATATCCACAGAGTATCATCACCCAGCAGTGGATACTGAGAGCCTGTGTGTATATTAATGCATGCTATACTACAAACCAGTACTACCAAGGCCCTATTTTTATTAAATTTGACACACACAGACTAGAAGTGTATCAATTTCCCTCCCCTAAGTATACACAGTTTAATAAACAAGTTACTGGCTGTCTCCATTATTAGTGTTTTCTGCTTTTATTCTTAAGACTGAATAAGAAAATCTGTTAGGTACAGCAAATCACAAGCACAAAATATGTCACAAAGCCTCAATACAGGAAATATTGATTCAAGTAATTCAAAGAGCACTTACTTTGATGTTATTTTTTAACTCGGGAGCTAGATTTAGTACCAGGAGATAGTGAGCATATGCAGTTCCAAAATCCTGGTCCTCCAGGCAATGCTGAGCACTCTGCAAAGACCTGGAAACCAACTCCCGCCTACCGGCTTCCTGACCACCTCTACGGTTACAATTGATTTTATTGTTGGAGTTGGGCATTTTGAAGGACGTAAATACTCACTCTTCCTAAAAAAGAAAAAAAACCCTAGGTTGTGTATACTGTAGGCCAAAAAGGCTGCACATAAAGCAGACAGATCAAACAACATTTTAAGACACCCACCTTCCCCTCAAATCCTAAGCCTTTAAAAACATGCTCATTTTTATGCCATTGTAAATTCCATTAATTTTAAAATGAGCATTCACCATTCAAGTCCGGCATGCACATGACATTTCTTAAATTAATTTCTGTAATACCTGTTTTAGCACATCTCTGAGCAAACAGCTTTGCACACTGGAAGCTGACGCACTCATAAGTTTCATAATCAACCGCAAAACCTGCAGGTTTAAACTTTTCCACTGCAGCAGTATCTTCAGCAGCACAGGCTCCCAGAAAAAGAGCCAACGAGCTCACACGGTTTATTTAAGCAAGGCACAGGATTATTTTCCCCCTTCAGGAAAGGTTAAAGTGTTACTAGGTTCAATATACACATTTTTCTAACTGCTTTTGTTACCACTTCAACTTTTAATGCTTACCTACTTAAGAGGGCCTAGTACCGTTTTCAGGATTCCCAGCTGTATCCCGAAGCTGAAGAAAGCGAACGTTACACGGAGAGGGACTGCAAGAAACACAGCACCATCGTAACTAGGCTGTCCGTTTTCTCTTTTCTTGAAAAACAAACGTTTGCCACGTCTCAAGAGAGCACCAGTAATTTACACCAGGGCGCGCAAAAGCAGGGAAGGCCATGCAAACCCGCCTGCCACATGGATGTGGCGGTAGAGAGGGGGAGGGGGTCGGCTCCGAGCAGCGGGGAGAGCGGCGCCGCCGGAACACC